GAAAGAATATATAAGATCCCATTTATATCAAGTTCAGGAATTGTTACCATGACTAATTGCAATTGTCACAACTGTAAAGGTAGAAGTTTTGTAACAGAAGTGGGAGAGTAGTTGATCTTACAGTCCAGGAATGGAGGTCCCTGGAACCATCAAGGGAAAATAGCCCAAGTGGAATTTGGGACCCTACCCAGAGAAGCAGCAACAGAAATGGAGGCAAAGATGAGGACATGGAGAGATAAAATAGCTGAGGACTCTAGACTCATAGGAAGAGAGGGGCTGTGTGATGGCAACCAGGAGACAGGCTTGCAGAATGTGCTGTTTGGTTGTTTAAATGATTATATATTCCTGAGTATTTTTGTGTACATCCAAAAAAAAGAGGGAATGGAAGCAAATACTGTTGAATGATGATGCATGGAGGAGATTGTAGTCATTGAAATGAAACAATGGCGCAAAACCAATGTTTTCCCATGTAAACTATCACTCAATTCACAATAAAAACTTTTTTAAAAAAGAAACTATTGCTATACACAGCAATATGCATGAATTGCACTAACATAATTTTGAGCAAATGAGACACAGAAGAATACATAATATATGATCCCATTTATATCACATTCAGAGACAAAATAACACACATTACTAGAGATTAGAACAGAGGTAACTTGATGTGTATGAGGTGGGGGCAAGTATGAATTGGGAAGAGGTCTGGAAATGGTTCTATAGCAATCTTGGTGATGCATATGCATATAAAAATTAAGCTGTATATTTAGTATTTTTGTATAAAATATAGTCTATATCTTGACTTAAGGAGCTCTGATAGCATAGTGGTTACAAATTGGGCTGCTATCCTCATGGTCAGCAGTTCAAAACTACCAACTGTTCTTCAGAAGAAAGATGAGGCTTTCTGCTCCTGTAAAGATTTACAGCCTCGGAAATCCTGTACAGGGACGCTATGAGTCGGAACCAATTTCATAGCACATAACAACATATCTTGATTATAAGTCTTTAAGAAAGCAAACAAAAAAGGATAAACAGGATATATGTAAGTATATTACCTATTGTTGTAAAAAAATATTACCCCTCCCCAAACTTGGCAACTCAAAACAGCAAACATTATAGTTCTGCAGATCAAGAATTTGGAATTAGCTTAGCTGGGTGATTCTCGCTGAGGGTCTCTCATGTGGTTGTAGTCAAGATGTTGGCTAGGGCTGCAGTCTTCTTGAATCTTGACTGGGTCTGGACATGACTTGCTCACATGCCTATTGGAAGGAGGTCTCGGTTCTTTGCCATGTGGCCCTCTCTATGGGACAGCTTGTGTATCCTTACAACACAGCAGCAGCCTCATTCAGAGTGAGTGACCCAAGAGAGAACAAGATGGAAATCACCATGTCTTTTGTGTTCTAGTCTCAGAAGTAACACACCATCACATCCACACTATTCTGTTCATTAACATGGCACTATGTCCAGTCCACACTCAAGGGAAGAAGAATCAGGCTCTACTTCTTGAAGAAGCATTAAAGAATGCATGGGCCTATTTTGAAATGATCACAACACAGAACTGAATATTGCACTGTCCTCAAGTGTTTGGCGGTTTGGTGGAACAGGGTCTGAGAAATCCCCTGCAGTAAGAGGACAATGAATCTCAGAGATGGCCACTCCCTCATCCCTGTAAATATGTTATGTTACATAGCAAAAGATAACAATACAAAAAGATAATAATACAAAGGCAACTAATGTGAAATAAAGTATGTTGTTAAGTGCTGTCGAATCAGTTCTAACTCAGCAACCCAGTATAGGGTTTCTACAGAGGGGCTGGTGGGTTTGAACTGCTGACCTTGCAGTTAGAAGCCCAGTGTTTCTTCTACAGGAACCCCATTAATCCCTCCTTCAAACTAAAGCCAAAAAATCATACTCATGACAGGATAATTTATTAAAATACTGTTCTTTGCTTAGACATTGGCTACTCAAAAAGGAGGGGGTGGGCAACAAAGGCACAAAGTGACTGACTTACAAGTTTTTCAAGAGGGAGCCTATTTTTAGAGTGTGCAGGGGAAGGTAGAATCTCCACTGAGTGGTTCCCAATCTGCCTAGACAGGAGATGGGGATAAGACTCTCGTGGTTCAATAGTGAATAATTGCTATCAGGATTTACTATGAATGTTGCAAATGTAAAGGTAGACATTTTGTAACAAAGGGAGGGGAGTAGTTGATCTTGCAGTCCAGGAGCAGAGGACTCTGGGACCATCAAGGGAGAAGAGCAGAGTGCGGGACCCTATCCAGAGAAGCAGTGACACTAGAGATGGAGGCAGAGATGATGATTTGGAAATACGGAGCAGCTGGGGACTCTAGACTTGAGGGAGAGGGGCTGTGTGCTGGTGGCTGGAGGACAGATGTGCAGAGTATACCATTTAGTTGTTTGGTTATATATTCCTGAGTGCTTCAGTGTACATCCAAAAAATAATAATAATAATAAACACAGAGGGATTGGAAGCAAATGCTGTTGAATGAAGATGCATGCAGGGGATTGAATTTATTGCAATGAAATGAAATACAATAGGATGAATGTAAAGCTCTCCCATGTAAACTATTACTCAATTCACAATAAAAAAAATTTTTTTTAAATACAGTTCTCTGTGTCTTTTTTCTCCTTGCAAGCCAGCAGCCAAGCTTCATCTTCCCTCAGCTAGAAGATTTGGGGCAGGACAGAAAGCAGAGTTCTCTGGGTCACCAGCTACGGTACAGCTGATTACTTGATATGATTCTTCTAGACATAGTCTTTGTAACTTCCACCAAATGACTGGCTGGGACCATAGAGATCTAGTGAGGGAATTGGTCAGTTTTCCATCCCACAAGGTTTAAAATGAACCATCTCAGAAGCAGGAATGGGGAAATCTCAAGTCCTTTGGGTGCTTAGATCCCTGCACTGAACCTCTTTGATCCAGCAGACAGAGGGCTATAACACTAGAGAAGAGGCGGTGAAGTGGGGGAGAAATGGTACCAGCAGAGGCAGCAGAAGTAAGAGGATGAGACTGAGCAGAAAGGCAGGCTTCCTAGACCAGGGAGAAATAAATCTGAATAACTTCAGGCAGGAGGCTCACTGTGGAGAGGTGTACCTTCAGGCACTTTGTCAGGGAAACCTAGTATGCTGACCCACAGAGATAGAGTCATGACCTTCTTCGAGCTGAGGGCTATGGCAGAGTGGTGTTGGCTGTGTTAAAGGAGCTTTGTAACACTTGCCTAAGCAGGGCAGAGGCCAAAGTGTTGAGAGGCTCAGGACCAGAGAGAGGTGTGCCTGTGAGAAAACAAGAACTACATCCTGAGTATTTCTGATCCTAAATTAAAATCTGTTAATTTCCCTAATAAACCTCATAATTGTGAGTATTGTCAGTGAGTTTTGTGTGGCCATTGGAATGGACTATTGAGCCCAACAGAGAAGCAGAAAGTGCTGTGGGAGAAATGGTTGGTGTCAGAATTGGTCAAGGAGGCATGCCTGACCTCTGCCTCACAGGAACTGGCCTTGGGTTCTTCCTCCCCTCTTGTGAACTCAGAAGAGGTCATATACCATCTCCACACCATTTTTAGCCTAGCTCATCCCCACATACACAGAGGCCTAAGACTGGAGGGGTCTGTCTCCTTCAGGGGAAGGGAAAGAAAGCCTTGGAAGAGGTAAGAGGTAAATCCTTAGAGGCCAGGAAGGAGACCAATGAACAATGGAAATCCTATCCCTGCTAACTGGCAAGACCTCAAAGGAGAACAATGTAGGCAAGACTGTAGCTCTGGGGTTCCCCACCCTCCCTAAGACAGCAGGACCCATGTACAGCGCAGGAGCAAGAAGTCAAGGACAGGAAGCCTGGGTGGATACGACAGTAGGGGGCTCTCTGTGTTTTGACCTAGCAGTGTAAGACCTGGGACATTTTCAGGGTCAGGTGAAGTGGAGGGAAGGAGAAGGTGTCTGTAAGGGAGACCTTAAAGAAGAGACTATAGTGAATTTTCCCACTAATTTATCAGGAAGCAGTAAGAGGCATTGGAATCTTAAGTACACTGATATAGAACAAGAAAAAATGAACCTCCTTGCACACTTAAGTTATGGACTGAGAATAAAAACAATGACCCCTTTCTGACTTTAAATGAAGATTTTAATCTCCCTGTGGAGGCCTGGGGTGGAGTGGTATTTGAGAGAGCAACAAGCCCTTACCATGCAGTTCAAGGAGAAGGGAAGAGTTGCTGCTAGGTTTTACGACTGTACAAGGTTAGAAGGATGTCTGTGGTTGAGCTACGGTTGACGTACAGCTGAGTCAGAAGGCAGCTTCAGATGTCAAGGGTGAGAAAGGTGCTCGGGCCTGTCAAGGGTGAGAAAGGTGTGGAAGCTTCTTGTGAGATGGGGAGAAAGGCAGGAATCTGAGACAAGATCAGGTCAGCAACTGAAGCACACCCTCCTCACCAAGGGGGAACAACAATGGGAGTAAACCCCTCCCTCTGAAGACTCTGCAACAGCCTCTAGATTTGGTCACCAAGTACCCCTTCCAGATGCCACTGGTGCCCCTGGTGTGTACACATCCTGTGTGTCAGTGGTGGGCACCAATGTCTATTAACAATCCCGCTCTCTCCTCAAACCCACACAGTGGGGTTTGATGCAGGTAGAGCCCTATCATACTCCCTTTGCATTCATGAGGCACTCAATTGAGAAAAGCTACCTACCTCTGATAGTAGTTTTTGGGGTGCACACAATGAACATTTCCTCTGCAGAAGCTGGAAGTGGTACAAGAATGATCACTTCTCCCTTGTCCAACATGGGCGGCCTGATGGACCCCTAATCACGCCTTGCTACAACAGGACAGAATAACCCAGTGGCATTTAGAAGTAGGCCCATCCAAAGGTCGAATCCTATGTTGCCATGGCTTAACATTCTCCCCAGGTTTACAGTGCAGGAGCAAGAAACTTAAGAGAGGGCTCCAGTGTAGGCAGCATCCAGGGGAACAGATAAGGATGGTACGAGTCCCTTTACAAGCCAAATGTGTAAATAAAGAGGCTAAGAGAAAGAGAAACAGGAGAAACAGGAGCTCAGAGGTCTGGCTGCAGTGTTAGGAGGGGGTGGACTTCACTTACACAGTTCCTACAATGAATGGAATCATCTAAGTCTTGTTTTAGTTTCTGTGGTGTCATGATCTTCCTATGACGAGGAGACGGTGCTCCACGCATTTTATTGAACCTAAATGATGGGTCTGCATCAGTCCTTTCCATCAGCCTGATTTCCTGCTGCTCCTTTGGTCCTTTTCTAAGGGGACTGAGAGTTGGGGAGAGGGCAGAGAGTTGGCAAGCTTCCTCCCCAAGATGACAAGGCAGTAATCAGCAGCATGGTGGCCGTGGAACCCCTTGACTCCAAGCCAGTGGACTAATACAAGCCAAGGCCACTCCTGGGAGAGGCAAGAGCCATCTGGATCCCAAGGGCATTCAGCAAAGTGAAGGAGAGCTCTTTAGGGACAAGGAAAGATGGAGGCAGGTTATACTTACAACTTGTTTTTCTGTATGTTTATTAAGACGTCCATTTTCGCATCCATCTCCTTCTGCATATCCTTGAAGAGAGAATTCAAAGCTAAGAATTTTTGTTTTAATGTGCTTTTGAAATTTACTTCCCCATCCTTTCTCAGCCAACCATTCGGAGATCAGTGTATCCATTTATTTTCTCATGAATCCTCTCACAAGACTCGAGTGAGGTGGCTTTAGGGGAAGGAGGTGACAAACTGGTACAGCTCTTGCATCTCCCCTTCCAACTCTCATTTCATGATGAGATTGAAGCAAAGGCAGAGTCACTAGCAGACTTTTCCAATGCCTTCCACTGAGTCACACAGGTCAGCAACTTTTTTATTTGAGCTCATGTTTTGGATAAAACCAGTATCTGTCTTAGTTCAATGCCTATAAAATGATGGAACCAAGAAATCAAATATTTTGACCCGTGCCACGTACCTAGGTCCTATGTATTTACCCAATTCCTGAAAGAAATGGTCAATACAAAATAAAACAGACTGTGCTTGAAGCAGCACATAACATTCATTATTTACTAAGAACTGACTGAAGAATGAAATATTCTTGGCTAAGTTTAGAGTTACAAAACTTGACCAGGGGAAATTGGACTTGATAGAAATAGTGGCCACACAAAAGACATTCTAAGGTGGCAGAGATTATACTTGCCAATATCTGTTATGGACAAAGCCAGGTTTGATTAATCATCATAATAAAATATAAAAGACAAATAATCTACTCCCAAGAAAATAATTTTAATAAAAAAATGAAATATTTGAAAGCAGTTGATGTATTCTACTATAGAAACTTAAACCATGAATTACATTGCCACTAAGATGGTCTTGTAGCGTAGTGGTTACGAATCAGGCTGCGAACCTTAAGGTCAGCGGTTCGAAACTACCAGCCGCTCCGCGGGAGAAAGATGAGGCTTTCTACTCCCATAAAGATTTACACCCTTGGAAACCCTGTACAGGGTCACTATGGGTCGGAACCAACTCGACGGCACTTAACAACAACAACAACAAGATGGTCTCACAAAATATTATCTTGAAAAACATTTTTAAATGGTAGTATAAATTTAGAGTAAAATATCTATTTTCATAAACAGAGTAAAAATATCCTTGATGACAAAATGGACTATAGGTCAAAAAGTTGAGAACAAAATTATCTATAAAAGAAAAACCAAATTTCAAGTCCATTCTAACTAATAGCGACCCAGAGAGAATGATAGGACAGAGTATAACAGCTGTTTAAGGTTTCTGAGAGGGTAAAACCTCATTTTTCTCCCAAGGAGCAGCTGGTGGGTTTAAGACAAAGACCTGAGCGTTAGGAGTCCAATGTTTAACCCACTACACCACCAGGGCCCCTTAAAATATTCAATGTTGTGTGAAGTACCATTGAGTCAGTTCCTATAGTCTCACCAAAACAAACCCCCAAATCCACCGCCACCAAGTAGATGTCAACTCATAGTGACCCTATAGGACCGAGTAGAACTGTCCTTAGAGTTTCCAACTTTGTAAGTCTTTACAGATACACAGTTCAAACCCACCAGCTGCTCTGAGGAAGAAAGCTGAAGCTTTTGGACACCAAGGCATTGGGTTGGTTGGTTGGTTTCATTTTCCCTATATGGAAATGCCATTCTGTATTTGGTTATTCCCCTACTACTGAAAATTGTGGTTTGCTTCCTGAACTTTACTATTATAAATAATTCTGTGATCAATTATCTTTTTATGTACAGCCATTTAATATTCTCATTTTTCTAATTGGTTATATTCTGAGAAATAGAATTCGTAAGTCCAGGGTTTTGACATTTTTGGATACCTACTGTCTACTGTATAGGAACTCTATGAGTCGGAACCAACTCCACGGCACATAACAACAGTCTACAGTCACCACTCATCTGTCAGTTTGTTGTACTGTAGTGGCTTGTGAGTCACCCATGGTGGACAGGTTTCAGATGAGCTTCCAAACGAAGACAGATGTGGAAGAAAGAGAGACAACCTACTTCCGAATATTTAGTTATTGAAAACCTTATGAATAACAGAGAAACACTATCAGATATAGTGTCGGAAAATGAGCCCCTCAGGCTGGAAAGCACTCAAAATGCAACCGGGGAAGAGCTGCCTCCTCAAAGTAGAGTTGACTGTGATGACATGAATGGAGTAAGCTGATGGGGCACAAATCAAAATGAAGAGAAATTGTTGTAAACATCCACTGAAAATCAGAACATGGAATGTATGAAGTATGACAGGGAAAATCATAAGTTGTCAAAAATGAAATGGAACACATAAACATCAAAATCTTAGGCATTAGTGAGGTGAAATGGACTGGTATTGGCCATTTTGAACTTGACAATCACATGGTTTACTATGCCAGGAAAGACAAATTGAAGAGGAATGGTGTTGCATTCATTGTCAAAAAGAACATATCTAGATCAGTCATGAGGTACAATGCTGTAAAAAGGATAATATCCATGCACCTAGAGGGAAAACCAGGTAATACCACTACGATTCACATTTATGCACCAACCACTAAAGCCAGTGAGGATGCAAGAGAAGAATTCTACCAACTTCTTCAATCAGAAATTGATCAAACATGCATCAAGATATATTGATACTGAAAAGGGGTCGAGGAAAATAAGGTAGAAGTAAGGAAAGTACTGCAGGAACAATCTAATAGGATTGACATAGCATTGGAAACAATTCAAAACCTGCAAAAAGATGTCCAGGTGATCAATAATAGGATATCAGAAATAGACAATAGCCTGAAAGGGGAAAGGAGCAGACTAGAAGAGATGGAAGCCAGAACTAGCGAGCTGGAAGACAAATCTCTCAATACTGCCAAGATAGAACAGCAAACAACTAAAAGGATAAAACAATCTGAAGAGAGTCTAAGATTCATGCTGGATAACATGAAGAGGAACAATGTAAGGATTATTGGCATGCCGGGGCAAGAAGAATCAAAGAAGTCCACAGAGGAAATAGTTAAAGAGCTTCTGGAAGAAAACTTCCCTAACATCCTGAAAGATGAGAAGATAAACATTCAAGAAGCCCAGCATACCCCAGGAAGGATAGATCCCAAAAGAAAGTCTCCAAGACATATAATAATCATGCTCTCCAAAACCAAAGACAAGGAAAGAATACTAAAAGCAGCCAGGGAGAAGAGAAACATAACTTATAAAGGCAAACAAATTAGATTAAGCGCTGACTATTCAGAACAAACCATGTAGGCAAGAAGGCAATGGGGAGACATATACAAAACCCTGCAAGAAAAAAACTGCCAACCAAGAATCGTCTATCCAGCAAAACTATCAATCAAATACGATGGTGCGATCAAAACATTCCAGGATAAACAGAATCTGAGGGAATTTATCAAAACCAACCCAACACTTCAAAACATCCTAAAGGGAGTTCTGTGGACAGAGAACCAACAAGAAAAGACGACAAACAGAGATTGATAAGTATGGCAACACCTGGAACACACCCAACAGACAGCAGAGACCAGAACGGAATGAGACTACAACAACAAACTCAAGAGAGCCCATAGATCAACTGAAGGACATAAACATATCAATGTCAAAGAAGACACAAACTCAACAACAGAAACCCAGGTGGTAGAGATGCCAGGTAACTCACAGGTTGCAATGGAGTATCCTAAATGCAGAGAAAAGCTAGTAGACTACAAGGTAACCCCAAAGAAAGTTAACATCCCACAACATATCATGAACAAAGAAACTGACCAGAGTCAACTCAAAAAACACAAACCCAATACAAGAAGGAAAGCAGAACCAAAGAACGAACAACACCGCCAAAAAAGCAACATAATGACAGTAATCAACTTATACCTATTGATAATTACATTGAATGTCAATGGACTGAATGCACCAATAAAGAGAAAAAGAGTAGCAGAATGGATAAAAAAAACAAGATCCATCAATATGCTGCTTGCAAGAGACACACCTTACACACAAGGACAAAAACAGACTGAGAGTTAAAGGATGGAAAAAAATTTACCAAGCCAACTCCAGCAATAAAAAAACAGGAGTGGCTATACTAATCTCCGACAAAGTAGACTTTAAGATAAAAACCAGCATAAGAGACAAAGAAGGACACTATCTCATGATCAAAGGGTCAATTGA